ACAATACAGTGCATTAGCAGTTGCTAATTCTCTCTTGAAGATCTTACAGAATGACAAGGGAGAGCAATGGGCCTGATCCCTCCCTCTCCCAGCCACCTGCCTGGCCCTGTGCTAACCATAAGCTCTCAATCCCAGTTCATTAGGTTCATTAAAGGGACCCCTGACCATTAGGTCCAGTCGTGGCTGACTCTGGGGTTGCGGCACTCATCTCGCTTTATTGGCCGAGGGAGCCGGCGTACAGCTTCCGGGTCATGTGGCCAGCATGACTAAGCCACTTCTGGCAAACCAGAGCAGCGCACAGAAACACCGTTTACCTTCCCACCGGAGTGGTGCCTATTTATCTACTTGCATTTTCACGTGCTTTCAAACTGCTAGGTTGGCAGGAGCAGGGACCATGTAACAGGAGCTCACCCCGTCGCGGGGATTCGAACTACCGACCTTCTGATCGGCAAGTCCTAGGCTCTGTGGTTTAACCCACAGCGCCACCCGCGTCCCTTAAAGCAGTACAAAAGAACTGTCTAGTGATGGTGGGCGGCAAATTTTCCAGCACTGTGTTTTTCCCGTGAACATTTTTCCATTGCTTAAGTTCATCGGTAACAAACGGATGCTGACTACAAATACAGTATTAGACAAGCTTGGTGGTCGCAAAGATTTTTAGCTTTGCTTACTCGGTACAAGTAAAACGTAACGAACTACGTCAGAGAGCTCTCCGAGGCACCATAACAACATCCTAGGCAAACTGCCCTCATTTCCAGAAAACCAACATCAATGGGGAGGCCAAAGCCATTTACTTCTTGGGAACGCTCCATTTGACAGATATTAAGAACCCTGCACCAAATCAGCCTTTGTGGGAAACAGACAGAACCCCAGAAAACTGTGCTCTTATTCTCACTGGGGGTTGTGTTTTTATTTCGCTGGTGCAGGAGCATCGTATGACCTGGTATAAATAAGACAGTTTTTATACTCATCCCTCGAGAACAGCACTGTCTACTCTGACTAAACCCAGCTCTCCAGAGATTCTTCTCCATTGCCTGCCACTTTGTACACACACATGCTTGCAACACACACTTTGGCCCTTCAGAGAAAGAACCTATGGAGTGGTTGTCTAGCAGAGCAGGGTTGTGTGAACACTTAAATAAGAGTGGGGTGCAAATCTCCCTCCAAAGACAATGCAATCTGTTAAAATGCTTCTTCTCCAAGTTGACATCTTCTTCCACTGCACCCGGTCACATTCTGTATCTCCTGGTTCAGCTAAGTCAACATTTTATCTCCACCAAGCTATTACATAAGTGTCCATTTCCCCTTGACTCCAGAAAAGAACACAGGCTCCAAAGAAAAAGCTCAAAGGAATCCAGCAGCGGCAGCGGACTCACATGATCACAACGTGTGAAATGAAGGATTAGGGAAAACAAGACCGGCAAGATTTAATACACAGCTTTCCAAACCGACTCCCCCCCCCATCAGGGATACTCCCCCCACAGCTTTTTGTACAGCACTGCAATTTTGAAACTAACACTGGACTAACCATGGGTAGAGAACCTGCAAGTCATGGGTAGGCAAACTAAGGTCCGGGGGCCGGATCCGGCCCAACCGCCTTCTCAATCCGGCCCGTGGACGGTCCGGGAATCAGCGTGTTTTTACATGAGTAGAATGTGGCCTTTTATTTAAAATGCATCTCTGGGTTGTTTGTGGGGCACAGGAATTCGTTCATTTTTTCCCCTTCAAAATATAGTCCGGCCCCCCACAAGGTCTGAGGGACAGTGGACCGGCCCCCTGCTGAAAAAGTTTGCTGACCCCTGCTGCAAGTCCTCGGTATGCGTTCATATTCCAATTCCCATCAGTCCCAGCCCAGCAAGGTCGGAGAAGTTAAAGAGCTGTGATCCTACAAGGTCTGAACACAACTTCCCCATCCCTGCCCCTCGCTACAGTGCCACAGGTCCTAGAATTGTCGCCAATGTGTAGAAAGCACCATTTCAGCCCTAAACCCTGGCAGGCTGGGCAAGATTAAGTAGCCTTTCTCAAACTTGGGTACCCAGGTGTTGTTGGACTACTACTCCCATCATCCCTAGCTACCAGGGCCTGTGCTCATGGATGATGGGAGTTGTAGTCCCAAAAAAATCTCTGAAGAGCCAAGTTTGAGAAAGGCTGAATTAGGCAAGCCCATTGCTGCAAGGAGTGTATCTGCTCATCATGCTGGGAGTTGACCAGGAAAATAAATGTGTCCCTCCAACTTTAATTGAGTAAAAGACTACAGGCAAGTATGGCAATTATTTAAAGCTTCTAGATTAATCTAGCTGCTAGGGCCTGTGTCTCAGTTGCTGTGGTTCTTTGCTTGACCACCAGGCAAGAGCAGAGGAATCTCTATTTAAAATTGACCGTGTGAATGCAAAGGAGTCTATCCTGTCTTTTAACGGATAGACAGAAGGTCTGTTCACTCTTATGGGAACAAAACTCTGAAGACATAGGCGCCGACTCCATGGGGCCTGAGGGGGCTCGAGCCCCCTCAAAAAAATTTTTGGGGGGGCTCAGCCCCCCCAATAATCTCGGGCGCCCTTCCAGCAGAGCGCCGCCGCCGTCCCCCGCCTCCTCCCCACCTGCTCCCTCGCCAGCCAGCCAGCCAGCCGCGCGCCCTAGTCGGAGAGCCCCGGCCGTCCCCCGCGAGCCGGGGGCTCCTGCCTCGCTGCTTCGCAGCACCACCGCCACTGCCAAGGCACTGCCGGGGGGAATTTCCTTCCTCCTGGCCCCCGCGAGAACAGGGGAATCCCGACTGGCCACACCTCCCAGCCAGCCGATTGGCTGGCTGGGGGGGCGTGGCTTGCCCTATTTAGGGCCGGAGCCACTTTATTTGCATATTCATGAGCTTATTTATTATTCATGAGCTTTCCCGGGCCCCCCAATATTTTTTATAAGTCCGCGTCCCTGTCTGAAGATACAACAAAGACATGCCAACTATGAGGCTGAAGAATCTAGGAACTCAGTTTCAACCCAACAAGTCTGCTAGGAACTCTATCAGCAATCCCACTCAGAACTTTTTCTTTAGATCAAGGCAGAGTATGGGACTGTGTTTTAGAAGAACTTTGTGCAGACAGTGTTTGTGATGGACAATCCTATCCACTGCGTGAACTTAATGGAGATCTGTTAAGAGTGCTCTACTGTACAAGAAGACACTTAAAAACACACACCATTAACCGCACAAGGGCATTACAAAGAACGTCATCCACCAAAGGTTCAAGCAAAATCCTCTCCAGGAGTGCGCACACACACACACACACACACACACAAATAAATTGTTCAGTCTGTAATCATGTGAATACATCTGGCAAGGGGGGTCAAGCAGCTCAAGCTTGCTAATAACTGTTAATTATGTGTGACATTAGTATTCCACTCCTCCTCCAATAATGCTGAAAGATCACAACAACCTTGTGAAGTAGGGAAGGCAAACCAGCAGTGGTTCTACCCAAGGCCAATGAACAGCCTCCATTCATTCATGCATGCATCCAGAATTCTTCCAGGTATCAGGAGATACAAGGGAGAATAGGAGGGATCACTTATCTACAAAAAGCATTTACAACTTTGATATCCAGCTCACGGGACACTGTTCTCTTAAGTCACTGGCTCATAGGCGAGATTTTGCCATCACGTACAAGCTGTGGCAAAAAAAGTCCCCTTGCTACTAATGCGGAGAGTGACAATGTCACACCCCACGGGGAAACAAAGCAAAGCAAAATGCAACTTTTAATGAAAGGGCACGTCGGCCTTTCGTGTTGCATGGGGAGCGGAGGAGAAGACAGGCAGGGATCAGACCCCTTCCACCAGGAGCCAAATCGAAATAAACCAAAGCGCCACTGACCACAGCACGCCTTCCCTGGCACAGATTGAATCTCCCCAACAAGTAAACAATTCCCATGCAACCCACAAGAGTGTCCTCCCTCATCTCATTCCCTGGAGCAAAATTCAAAATAACCCCACATCTACCACCAGTCCTTTACACACACACACAACCTTATTAACCACATGGCAAAGCAAGAAAAAAAAATATCACAGAAGAGAGAGGGGGAGACAACTGAGAGGCACAAAATATGGACAAAAGGCATTATTATTATTATTATTATTATTATTATTATTATTATTATTACCCCACCTATCTGGCTGGGTTTCCCCAGCCACTCTGGGCGGCTTACAGCACATAAGAACCTCCACTAAAAGGAGAAGAAATGGCATTCCCTCCTGAAAACTGAACCATCTCTCTGGCCAAGATATTGTTCATCATTCCTACAGGGGTTCAGGAATGTAATTCTTTCTAAAGAGGATGGTGGGGAGGCGGAAACTCAGCCACAGGCAAGGCATAAGCGACAATAGTAACAAGGGGGAGGGAAGACTACATGGCTGAGAAGAGGTCAAAGGAGGAGGAAAACAGAAAAGCGGTTCCCAGGAAACCGATGAAGCTCCTTGCTTCCGACAGAAAGAGGATTCAATCCTCTGGAAAAACCGAGGCTTTTTTTTTTTAGATGGTTAGGAATGGGGTCTCCCCTCCCCAACCTTAATAATGGAGGAAATGGAAGAAAAGGGGAGCGTAGCAGCGGATTAGAAAGGCTTAGCCGAGAGCCGTGCGTAAAAGCAGGGGGTGGGGATTGCTTCCTTGAGCCGACCTAAGGAACTTCGGGAGACCCACAGAGCGAGTGGGGCGATCCCAAGACAGATGTGGGGATAAGAGTCAGTCGGAGGGGGAAGGGGGGGTCTCACACTAGCAGGCTCGGTTTGGGGGGGGCATTAAAATGCGGGCCTCTCCAAAACTGCCACGGTGCGCATTGGCGCTTAGGGAACAAAAGGGGGTACCAAAAAAGGGGGCTCCTTCGGGGTCGGGAAATATTATGGGGTGGATGAGGAAGGGGCTGCGGGGTCCTTCCCACATCAGGAGGAGGCAAAATAAAACACAACCCAGAGAGACGGGGGTGGGATTGGCGGGCGAAAGTGGGAAAGAGGAGCGCTTTGTTCCTTACCCGGCGCGCAATTCGGACCAAACTTTCATTCACGCTGCCGCTCCGGCCAGGTCCGCGCTCTCGGCTCCGGCTCCGCTGCTCCGGCTCCCGCTGCGCCACGGACCCCTCGGCGGGGACAGCAGCAGCAGGTGCCCGCCCGCCTCGCCTCCTGCTCCGGCCGCCAGGCCCGCCGCCGCCGCCGCCGTGCCAAGGCCGTGCCGTGCGCCCTGCGCAGCCGCCGCTGCCGTCACCGCTCGCCCCCTTCCTTCCAGCGCTCGCAGCGGCAGCAGCATCCTCGGCGCGCAAAGGGGGCCGGCCGGCCCGCGCGCCGCTCCGCCTCCTCCCGGCTGATTGGCGAGGCCGCGCGCCTCCGCTGCGCGCCGCCGGGAGGAGGAGCTCGCCTAACGCACGTGCACGTGCGCGCGCTCCAAAGGACGTCTGGCTTTGGCGGGAAGGGAGCGGCGGGGGTCGGTGTTGCCCCATGCCCGGGGGCGGGTGGGGGGAGTCGAGGGCGGCCCCCCCCATTAAAGGAACCCCAGCCTGTTAGTTGCATGAGTTTTTGATCCTTTAATTAAACGGCTGTTAAGGGACGGGTAGGACCATGCATAGGAGCTAGGGGTCTTCGGTCCCCCCACAATAAAATATTTGAGGGGGCTGCCTCCCCCAAACTTGATGGGCGTTGCCATGCAATGCGGCGCGTGATCGATTGTGCAGGGCGGGGCATACCTGGACATCCCCCCCCAACAGGGCGGGATTTACCTGGACCCCCACCCCATATTGCATTCAAATTGGCACCCCTGGTAGCGTGGGCAGGGCCCCACCCTAAATCAAGTAACTGATTCTGTCTGATCTGCAATAATTTGTAAAAATCGATAAAAAATAATTGGCAAAAATGAATAAATAAGTAAGTAAATCAAGTGACTAAATAAAAAAGTAGAAATAATCGGAATACTGTATGTGAAATGTTTTCACCAATTTTTCTGAGCCCTTGAGGTCAAAAGAAAGTAATCTGTAGCTGTCGTTGAGACAGTTTGTTCCAAATCAGCTAGGAAGAGCCAGGGTGGATCTACACTGGGGGAAAGTATTCAGACATTATTATGTTACAACAAAGACAATAATCCCATGAAATCGCGTTTAAAATTTCCTGCTCTCTGGCGCCATCTGGTGTTGCTGCTTATAGGAGCGCATCAAATTCTGTTCTTACTATGTAGCTGAGTCCCAGACAAAGGGTTGATAAGTGTGTGCCTGCCCCATCTGGTAATGGGAGTCTTTGTAGGACACGTCTGCACAGACTCCCTGAGCAAAATGAGCGCACGACTTTATTTTGCCACGTTCACCTAACTAAAAGTATCTGTGTATCAGAAAAATATGCAGCACTTCCCCCAGCCTCCTCCAGGATGTGCCCCCGCCTTGGAATCTTCCAGCATGCCCTAACTGTTCTGCCTGCAATAATGCTCTTCTTGTCTGGATGGAAGACAGGAATGTGAATGTAGAAAATAGCCTACAGTGCTATGGGGTGTTAGGGGAGAGGTACTGTCTCTGGTGTAGGACATGTCATGCTCCTTCTTGAGTAGTTTGTCCACCTTTGGTCCCCACCCTGCACTCAGCTCTCACCTGTGGTTCCTAATAATAATAATAATAATAAATTTTATTTATACCCCACCCTCCCCAGCCAGAGCCAGGCTCAGGGCGGCTAACACCAATAAAATTACAGTAAAAATATAACAGGGGGAAAACCCCAATTTAAAATACAGTTTAAAATGCAGTTTAAAATGCAGCCTCATTTTAAAAGTAGCCCATAGATCAACCATAGGGGGAGGGAAACATAAGGGTCAGACTGAGTCCAAACCAAAGGCCAGGCGGAACAGCTCTGTCTTGCAGGCCCTGCGGAAAGATGTCAAGTCCCGCAGGGCCCTAGTCTCTTGTGACAGAGCATTCCACCTAGTCGGGGCCAGTACTGAAAAGGCCCTGGCCCTAGTTGAGACCAATCTAACCACCTTGCGACTTGGGACCTCCAAAATGTTGTCATTTGTGGACCTTAAGGTCCTCTGCGGGGCATATCAGTAGAGGCGGTCCTGTAGATACGTGGGTCCTAGGCCGCATAGGGCTTTAAAGGTCAAAACCAGCACCTTAAACCTGATCCTGTACTCCACCGGGAGCCAGTGCAGTTGGTAAAGCGCTGGATGAATGTGCTCCCAGGGCAAGAATCCCTTAAGGAGCCTCACTGCAGCATTCTGCACCCGCTGGAGTTTCTGGGTCAACTTCAAGGGCAGCCCAGCGTAGAGCGAGTTGCAATAATCAACCCTGGAGGTGACCGTCACTGGGATCACTGTGGCCAGATCAGGGTGAGAAAGGTAAGGGACCAACTGCTAGAAGCTGTCAGCATGCGGCAGCGACCACAATCCCAGGAATGGCTTCGACTGGTTGCAAAGATGGGCTCTGGTGGATTGAGTGGACAAGACCAATAACGTGTCCAACGGTCAAGAGGGACTTTTCTGCAAATGGGGCTCGTCAACCTGGGAAGGTAACCCATCTGGAGGAAGGAAAACTCTGAACCTAAACGTCTGCTGCCTTGCGAAATCACTTCGGGAGAAGGAAAGGTTAAGGAGGAAACTCTGCACAAATCCAGAGTGGAGTCCCTAAGGCAGTTGGGTGGTGCCTTGTGGGCTTATTCTGGCAACTCCTGCAGCCAAGCTGGAGCCAAATGTATTGCTCTGCTTTCCTTCGGACCACATTGGTGAGGCCGAGAGGGGGGTCTTGTTGTCTGGGCAGCCTGGGAGCTCCATACAAGGTCACTCAAGTGCTGGTTTGACTTCACCCCAGAAGGCGCACTCCATTGTCTCTCCAGACAGACAGATGCCAAGCACTGCGACTGTATCGGTGTGCATATCTCAAGTGGGTGGGGCAGCCATTCAGTTTCGGATGGCAGCAGGTATCATCTTAGAAGAAATCTTTTCTGCAGGGGAGCACATGAACTTGTGTCCAATGTACATGAGTTTTTCAAAGGTCTGCCGTCCGATTAAATGGGAAGTGCATCTTCCGAATTCAGCAGAAGGGATTTAGCCATTAATGCACTTATTAGAGTTGCAGCTGCCCTAGAGCCATAGTCCTCAAGCATGGTTGATGGAGAGTGTTATTTTGGGGGGGGGATTAAGGCAGATTGAGAATACAGTGGTACCTCGGGTTACAGACGCTTCAGGTTACAGACTCTGCTAACCCAGAAATATTACCTCGGGTTAAGAACTTCGCTTCAGGATGAGAACAGAAATTGCATGGCAGCAGCGGGAGGCCCCATTAGCTAAAGTGGTGCTTCAGGTTAAGAACAGTTTCAGGTTAAGAATGGATCTCCAGAGCGAATTAAGTACGTAACCAGAGGTACCACTGTACCTCCATTTGTAGATCCTACCCATCGCTTTCTTTCAAAGCCACCTCAGCCCAGGTATGTGAAAGTGAACTACCCAAAAGTTCTGCTTACCAGAAAAAGGGCAACAGCAAGCAAACGAAAAATCATTTTATTAGTCCAAGTGTGGAGAATGAAAATTCTTAACAGGCAGGGGGTGCTGGCATGTCGAGGTTTGCAGAAACCAGCGATTATGTTTTCCTATTCTGTCCTGGAGAGGCGTAAAGTGTTCCAGGTGTGTGACCTCTAAATACAGATTATTTTGCTTAGTCATGAAAGAGCAGCACAACCACATGATACATCATTTGCATTTTCTGGATGTGAAAAATAAATGATTTATGGATAGGGAGGGCATGGGTTCTTTGAGAAAGCTAGCTATCCTATTTTCCCATGCCTCTTTCCCAAGCAATCTAGATTAGCCCCGATTCCTGCCTAGTCACAGTGACTCCAGGATAAATGTGTTTCTTTTATCTAATGCAGGAATGTGGAACCTTTGGCTGACAGAAGTTGCTGGACTCCAACTCCCATTAGCCCCAGCCAGCATGGCCTTGTCTCATGCAAGGGGCAGCAAATTCCAAGAGCAGGCGCCGGCAAAAATCACGTTGCGGGAGAAACCGTGAAGCCAGCCGATGCCCCTACATAGCTCCATCCTTATTTCAGACATCGTGATATATCACGATGTTTAGCTGGTGATATAGCATGATGATGAAAACCAGATATCGCCCAAAACAGCCATCAACTCTTAGGATGAATTCTGTTCCCTCAAGCAACTTGCCTGCTCTTGCTTTCAGATGACAAAGGAAGTCGTATGATATATATATGCTGCGCTGTGCTTTTATGTGAATTCAAAACCCATTGTCCTTTATCTTTTATTGTGAGGTTGCCTACAGGTATGTGCTAACAACATCTAACCATCTTGCTGGCCCCACTGAGAGAGAACACGCTGTCCCCGCTAGCAACGGAGAACTGGAAAGCTGACTGCATAAAACCATCACCCCCCAAAGTCTTCCCACTGGGCTCCTAACATAGCTCCTGAAACTTCCACCCCACCGCCAAAGAACTATTTCCCACCTCCGCTACTCAGCCAAGTTTCTCCTCTTATTAATCCCCTCTTGTTCCCAACGTCAAGACACAAACAGAAGGGAATGAGCCCGTCAAATAGATAATTTGGGGGAGGGGCGCACCTGTTGCTGTTCTCCCTTCGCTTGCATCTTGGCTCCTACGGGAACTGCCCAGCATCTTCAGAGATGGAGGGAAGCACACTGTGGCCTTTGCCATCCACCCGAGGACCAAGGGTCAGCCAGACATGGCACCTCCTACCTCCCAAAAATAGCATCACGGCAAGGGGAAGACCGACCTGGCCCCATCCATCGGCCACGCGAGGAGCAGCGGCTTCGCTTCTTGTGTCAGAAAGAACACTCGGCTCCAACTGCCAGTTGTCTCTGCCAGAAGCAGGAGGCAGGGAGAGAGATCATCTGGCCCCATCCCACCAGCCGAAGGAGAAAAAGGCACTACCAAGGGGAGATCACCCAGGAGTAGAGGCCAATATATATAGATCAAGACTTCATACCAGCTTAAAGAACTAATTTCCCCCGTCTGCCTTTCCCTTCTACCCCTTTCCGCTTTTGTCTCTTTCAGTCTTATTCTCTCTCTCTTATTTATATCTTATATAAATGCATCTATAATAGATGCGAACAATAATTGTCTGGAAAGCGGCATAAAACATGCTAAATAAATAAATGAGAATGAGTTGATTGGGGCAGGGGAGCCAAAGCTGTTCCAAATCTTGTTTTA